CCCCCCCCCCCAAAAACCCTCCCTCGGGGGAGCGGGGTGACCCCGAAAATTGGAGGGGGCTCACCTGGGGGGGGAAAAGGCTCCGTCTGGCAAGGAAACGTAGAGACCCTCGCGGTCGCCGCGCTGCAGGTGGGCTTCCAGAAGATCCTGACGCTGACCTACGTGGACAAGCTGATCGACGACGTGCACAGGGAGTTCAGGGACAAGTACCGCAACGAGTTCCAGCAGAAAGGCGCCCTCGGCCTCCTCAACGGCACCTTCGATTTTAAAGATGACTTCATGCGGCTCCTCCGGTAGGCGAGGAGATTTTCCTCGCGCGGTTTTCCACGTAGATCGGGGGGGGGGAGAGCTGAAATCCAGGCCGCCTCCCCGCAGGGACGCAGAGGAGAGCGGTAAAGTCCGAGCTCCCACGGTCATGAAGACGTTCGAGCAGTCCCTCAAGTCCCAGAAGACCGTCAAGTGCATGATCGAAACCCGGGGGGAGAAACCGAAGGAGAAAGTCAAACCCAAGAAGAACAAAGGTTCCAAAAAAGAAGGTGAGGCGACAGGAAGGATGGATGGGGGGAATAAATATTCCGGAGCTTGGCGCCTTCTCGCCGCACCCAGCTCGTGTCGGGGTTCTTTCCGTCAGGAACCGAAGCTGTCGCAGCGCCCGGTAAAGCACCGGCGGGCGACAAGCAGCCCTCCGCCGCCGGGGAGAAGGAGGAGCTGAGCAAGGATGAAATCCTGCAGAAGAACCGCGAGGAGTTCTTCAAGAGGCACATGAAAGCAGGGGAGAAGTCCAGGTGGGTTAACGAGGACGCCGTCTGTCCGCCCGGGCTTCAGAGCAGCTCTTCCTGGTGGTCCTGAGAGGAGGTCCATGCTTTCCAGGACCTGCTTTCCCTCCTTACTGGGAAGACGGGGAACGGGCACGCTGCGGGGGGAAAAAGAGCCCGACCTCTTCCCCAGGAGGACTTTGTGGTGAGGGGCTTGAGCCCCTTGGCCGGGACTCGGAATCAGCCTTAATTTCTGCATTTTTGGGTGATCCCGGCATTTAATTTTCTCCCCTTCTAAGGAGGCGATGGGTGCCGCTTCCCCATGCGGGTGCTCGAGGCGAAGCGCTCTGCTGTCGGGTTAAAATTTGGATAAATACATTCTGGAGAGTCAGAATCAGCCTTAATTTCTGCATTTTAGGGTGATCCAGGCGTTTAATTTTCCTCCTTTCTAAGGAGGCGATGGGTGCTGCTTCCCATTGGCCAAGGCTTGAGGCAAAGCGCTCTGCTGCAGGGTTAAAATTGAGATAAATAAATTCTGCTGACTTGGAATCCGCCTTAATTTCTGCATTTTTGGGTGATCCAGGCTTTTAATTTTCCCCCTTTCTAAGGAGGGAATGGGTGCTGCTTCCCCGCGCCAAACCAAGCGCGTTTCTGGTCTTTTATTTCGACAGATCTCCGAAGCCCGAGGCGCAGAAGGAAAAGGGGAAGAAGCCCCGGGTGTGGGATCTGGGGAACTCCAACGCCAAAGTACTCGATTACAGTAACTCCGCTACCAACGGCAGCGCGGAGGCCGCTCCCGTGGAGGAATTCGACCCCGACACAGTAAGGAAAAGTCAGGTCGCCACGTCCGCTTTCGCGTCTTGTTCTGGGGTTCACCTGGGCGTTGTGAACCCCCCCCTGAGGAGGTGCTGGAAACGGGGACCGCAAAGCTGCTGCCTGGGGGGGCTCAACCCGCCGAGCTCTCATGGCAGAGAGCTAACGATAACGAGGAGCGGGCAGCGGGAGGGGACGGTGAGGGG